TGAGGTACACCAGCACATGATTTAGCTTCTTCTTTCCTAAAAAAAAAAATTGTGCAAGGAATTTGCCAGTTGGAGAATAAAACAATATTGAGAGATCATATTTATTGTTCCTCACAGCAAGACTTTAATCTGATTTTTCTCCCCCACCAGTCTCACGTAACCCAAAACCATCTTTCTTGCCTTCCCCACATCATGTGAAACACAGCAGAATCTGATTTTGTTGTCAGTCTCCATATCCCAGTGCAAAAGCATCCAAACAGTACTCTCTCAATTCTAGGTAAACTTTTCATATTCTTGTGTGTGTGTATACATACACAAATCTAAGAGTTTACCATTTTTGGGTGTTTAGAAACAGTTATCAACAGTTAAATCTATCATTTAAATTTAACATTTCCCAAAGTTACATGCACAGAATTTTCACTGAAGGCTGTAGGTCTGCTGTGTGTCCTTCACTGAAAGGGTTATAAAGAGGGACCGTGGATCCTTTCTGTTTTTGCGGACCATTATCTTTCCTCTCAAGGCCTCTCCTGCAAAAGTAAAAAGAAAATTACTAGGCTTACATTACCGACTCATGCATGGTAACAACAAAGATGCCTTACATACCCACATGTTCCTTGAGAAGCTGTTCCAAATTAATCGGAATTAAACAAGTCTACAAAAGTTTCCTTTACATTTTCAAAGCTCTAAGCAACAGTCTTAACAAACATAAGTCAGATTAACTGCAGTTAAACCTGGTGAGGTGCTGAGTTATGTCTGATGCTTTACTTCTCAGATGACTCACCCAAAGACCTGATCTGCCAATTATTTTACTTGTGACTGGGGAAAAACTCTGTACTCCTTGGATACATAAACCTCTCTTTGTATCTGGTTGTCCTGGTTTCAGCTGGGATAGAGTTAATTTTCTTCCTGGTAGCTGGTATAGTGGTGTGTTTTGGATTTAGGATGAGGATAATGTTGATAACACACTGATGGTTTAGTTGTTGCTGAGCAGTGCTTACACTAGGACGTTTCCGTTCAGCTTCTCATACTGCCCTGCCAGCGAGGAGGCTGGAGATGCACGAGAAGCTGGGAGGGGGCACAGCCAGGACAACTGACCCCAACTGGCCAAAGGGCTATCCCATACCACAGGACGTCATGCTGAACAAAAAAAACTAGGGGGAGTTGGCCAGGGGGCGGGGGGTGGTGGTGCGCAGCCGCTGCTCAGGAACTGGCTGGGCATCGGTCAGCAGGGGGGGAGCAATTGCATTGTGTATCGCTTGGTTTGTATATTCTTTTATCATTATTATTTTCCCTTCCTTTTCTGTCCCATTAAATTGTCTTTATCTCAATGCACAAGTTTTACCTTTTTTCCGTTTCTCTCCCCCGTCCCGCTGCAGGGGGGTGAGCTGTGTGGTGTTTAGCTGCCTGCTGGGTTAAACCACAGCACTGGTTAAGTTGGATCTGCACATCACTACCTAGCATTTCCAGGCACGGACAAGTCTCAGCTGGACAAGTTCAAAGTACCATTGTACTATTTCCCCGCCACCTCCGAGCTTCAAATATCAACTCGTTTTCTCATGAAATGATATTTAACGTCTTTAAATTCTTGAACATAGATTTCCATCCATGAAGTAAGCAAATTATTAGCAGTAATAAAACGTAATATAAAAATAAAGGTATAAAAAAGCAAAACTGCTAGTCCACAAAATTTAATATTGCATTATTCCTTTGCTGAGCTCCCTAATTTAAACGCATGACTACTATCAACTTTGAGTAAACCAAGCAACCACAAAAACCTATTCCACTTCCTACCGCATATGCCATGTGGTTTCTATTTGCACTGCATTTCATTTAAGCTCTGATTAGGTAATGTTTTTATCTGGCAGGAAACATTAACACAGAAGTCTTCACAGCACTTCAAGTATACACATTATTAATAGCCTGACAGTTTGTAAGACAAAACTTGCTTTCTCGACCATAACACTTGGCATATATGCGCTTCAGCTAAAACCAGAGAGAACGCTTAGACACAGAAGGAAAGAGCTGAGAGACATCTAAAGAGGCACTCTCACTTTTGGTGTTACTAAATTTAAGTAAAAGCTTTTGTCCTAGAGAAATTTCAGGCCTTGATGTTTCTGTTTAACATTTGTCCTAGCCTGTGCTGATCAAGCCTGGTTCCACCCCAACAGCAGCTACAGTTCCACAGCACATCAAGTTTGTCCACATTTATTCTTTACTTAATTCAAAGGTCTGTTCTAACTTTTAAAAGCACTTTCAGATTCTGAAATAAGTGAGGAGAAAAATTAAACCTGCTGTGCCAGCTTAAGAACTTGTGTATACTCTCTAAGAAGAGATGTGTTGCTTTTCACACACAGGATAGGAGATTATTTGTGGATCTGTAAGTCCAATTTCATGATCTAACAGTCTATTTTATCATCATGCAAACGTACTCAACGGCTAAGATGTGAAAAGCCTTTATAGCTATGCAACCGCCTGAAACTTTATACAGGACTGAACGAAGGGACAATGAACCCATTTCTCTATAGGCACAGCTGTTCTTAACTTCTTTTTTTCCCCGCATCTAAGATCCTTATTATAAGAAAATAGCAGAAAACTAGATATACAGATATCGCGAGCTCCAGGAACTGATTCATGCTACATAAATTTAAGACAAAAGTTACAAGTTTGTATCCATCACATAAAAGTCACGCAAACTGAAATCCATAGCCATTCCCAACTAGTCATAGGGTTTCCTATTTGCTTATTTGAAAGCTTTATTTAAAAAGCAGTTTTGAGAGACCAAGCTTGCAACAAAGTTCTTGATTTACAGATACTTAAGGAGCTACTTTAATTAACATTATTCATATTTTTGAGTATTAAGCACAAATTTACTGAGAAGGCAGTACAGGAGGACAAAGAGAATTTAATCTTCTTATTAACTTTCATCTGCTTCCCCCAACTCCCATCCCACACCCCAACAAAAAGCCAGCAAATTCCAGGTTCCCTGGGCAATGCCGAAAGATTCTGCCAGACTTGTGTGCCCGGCTGGGAAGCAGGGGCATAACAAAAAGCAAAGCCTCAGATCTCTGCAGAGCAAAGGTATGGGGTAGCGTTTCATAAATTTCCCTAAACCATATACAACTGACACTTGGGCTACATCGTCCCCACTGAATACTGGAGAGAGGTTAATAACTTTCGAAAACATTAGTGTGGCTGTAAACCTAGTACTTGAAGACTGTAGCTTCAAATCTTTAGTTTCATGGAAAGAGAAAAACAATCAAGAGGTAAAGAAATGGAAGCAAACTGCAGACTTATTTGCAAATGCAAATTTCTTTGTTGATATAGACATACATGACAATCTATTAATGTTATGTATGTATGAAAAGATTACTTCTTAAACATCTTAGTGTTTGAAATATTTATATACATGGCAATTTCAAGTATTTATGTGTGAAGAATGCCTTCCTGGTTTTGGCATGTAGACTAAAAACCTGAAGCCAGAGGGTATCAACATCCCTTTAAGTAGAAACGACTAGATTCGACTAGTTTTGAACTACCTAAATAGAGTACATTGTGCATCAGAGATTGCTTCAAACTCAGATTAGCACAGGAATGATTTCAGACTTGTCACATACAAAAATAACTAAACCATGGTTTGAAAAGAGCTCAGGATACAATCCAGAAGCTGAAGCCAAATACCTTCAGGTTAGTATTTTATATTTTATTTATTTACAAACAAGTGCAATTCAATGGCCTGGACCGCAGAGAGGCAGAATGGATTTAATTTTTAAATCTGACCATGTGTGAAGTTTTTAAATAACGCCATATATATGTTAGAAAAAATAGAATAAAACTTTAAGCCAACAGCATTAACATTTTCAAGTAAGGTATCTGAAATGACGTGCCCCAGCAAGAGACTAATTTTGAAGTTGGAGGACCTTCACCTTCTATAACACATTGGGGGACTAGAAGAATCGGGATATCTTGTTTGGTGGCCTTCAGTCAGATACTCAAAAGATCAGTTACAGCTCAAACTTTTATGCGCCTTAAATATCATTGCAAAAGCTCTGGAATGACAAATTCTGTTCCTATAGCCTGGCTCTAGCTTGAAGACGAACATATACATTGCATTCTTTTTATCTTGAGGAAACTACACACGCAGTGAATACTATAATATCTGAAGAAAAAAAAAAATCCACAAAGACAGATGTTGCCTCATATTGCAAGGAAAATTACCTATACAGGCTTTTTAGTCTTGTTTTTAGTGAGTTTACCAAGCAAGTAGCTCTTAATTTCACCATGCTTTTGTGAAGATTGCTGCTTGCAGTTACTAGAAAAAACTCATCTCAATTTATTTTCAGTCCTTAATAAGACCTGCAATTTAAGCTATATTTGTAAATATTTAGGAAGCCCATTGCTGAGCCACTTCATACCATCATTTTAAAACCACAAGAACTACATCTAAGTGGATGATTCTACTAAACACATAATAGGAGAGCATGACCTCGAGTTACAGCAGTAAGTTTGCTGCTACTCTTCCATTAGGCCTCCCTTGCCCCATTCATCTCCATCCCTCACACCAGCCACATCCACCGTTACTACTTTTCTACCTCACTGGATCCAAAGTATTTCCCAGCTGTTCATTACTTAGTGGGAATTTTAAAAGCCATTCTTTATGTTCTGTTAAAAAGCTGAAGTTTTCAATATTCTTATTGCAAAAATGAAAACAAATAGGAATTTGAAAACTAAGCTGATTTCAAATTCAGTAAAAATTTTAGAATTCTCCGTTTGGCACAATTCTCAGTTGCATCCACAAACAGTAAACTGACACAAGATCCACATTATAAATAATAAATGCAGGATATTTTTTCAAAGGCTGCAGTATAAACATCAAAGAAAGCTTTTCAAGAATGACTGTGGTACTAACACTGTAGAAAAGATAAAAAAAACATATTCTTTGATAATTTTGTATTTTTTTCATTATTTAACAGTTAGTTGGAGATTCCATTTAAATTCTTGTGCAGCTTTATTATTAGGACACAAATAACTGATATAACACAATGTGATTCGCAAAGAATTGTGAAAATGGTTTCACACATTATTTAGACAGAGACAGATTTGCCAGGTCTAAGGACAAGGTAAAGAGAAAAGGGCGTTATAGCTTCTCTCTACCTAAGAAGTTTAACCCACTTTGAACATACAGATTTTCAGAACTGCTACAAAATGCATTATTTGATATATTTTAACCTTCTATTTAACCTATCTTTTTAAAACATTCAGTAAGACTGAAGAGCCTCTGAGAACTAAAATTCCATGATTTAAATTAATCCATACTTCAATCTTGCCTTTTAAAACATTAATACAAAGCAATACAATAAATGAAGTAAAAATCTAATTTCATAAATTATAGCTGACTTCATAGAACAGAACCCTCAGATCCTGCTTGTAAAGGCAGTTAATGAAACGAAGCAGTCCATTTTTCTCAGCTATTTCTTATGCAGTAACCACATTAAATCTGCCTTTCGAAAGAGTCTTTTCTGAGGGCCGA